AATAATTGTTCTCTTAGCCGTGTGCGGTGCCCCCGCCACAGTTTACTTCTTCGGTCATAGTGTCGTAGTGCTTAGGTGAAGCCCTGCGCGGATCACATCACCGTCACCACGCCGTCGTGCTGACGAAACTCTCCCTCGACCCTCAGCTGGATCAAGAGTTCGAGGGGCGTCGTCGAGCTGAACGTGTGCTGAACTCGAAGGTGTTGTACGTTCGGTACTAGATCATTTGGATCGTGAAGACGTTCGACTACAACAACCGCGTTAACCTAACGTTTCCGCTTTCGTTCTACGAGGGTACGTGGACACACTCTCCCCCTCTCATTGCTATGCATCTCCTAGATAGATCTTGTGTGATCGTAGGAATTTTTTTAAATTGCATGTTATGTTCCCCAATAAATAGCGGGTCTCATCACCCTATGCGGTCTCTTCATGTTTGTCGATGACTGGCTCTTCCGCGGTGGGTTCGCCAACAACAATAGTCAGTAGCGATCGTAGGATATGGCTGGTGCTAATGGCTCCACTGTTGTTCATAACACCTAACTTCATCGCCATCGATAGAGGCATTCACACTACCAAGCTGTCTATTATTAGAATAAAGTCATTTTGTTAACATCGGGTTTATGTAGTGATGCCCCATCTCGCATGTCTTCAGCTTCCCCCAACAAGTCTTTTTTCTTCCTCTTTATTTGGATCTTTTATATTTTGTTAACATCCAGTTAATAAATTCTCATACATATTTTGGGTAAAGAAAAAAATGGTTGATCTTACATCTCTTGTGATTTGTGTGTACATGAAGTGTTTCATGTTAAAACACCATACCAACGACTATAACATGATGTCCCTGCTCTTTAGCTCTTACTATTTTGCCTCACATAGGTAACAGAAAATGAAATGCCAAAACTGCCTAGTACGCCTTTCTTACGCAATTTAATTTGGTTGAGGAACATGGCATGCGATCTAGCTAATAAATAGCATAGATGGGACACAAAGTCTGACTTGTCCCCCTTGACAACGATGTGAAGCAGAAAAACATAGACACAACATAACCATTCCTAATAAAGAGAGGCAACGATGAACAACGACATAAAAGAACCTTGATAAAGCAAATGTTATATTTACCCCTTTCCAAATACTCTCTCCGTTTTAAAATAAATGACTCAACTTTGTACTAACTTCATGTACCATAAAAATAATGAATATAGATCCAATATTGTGTCAGAACATTTGAGGATGTTAAGAACATCTACGTCGGGCTCCCTATACGCCCCCCCCACACACACACACGGCTGCTACTTGTGAGCTACGTTGGAATTTTCTTGAAGAGGAGAGGATGATGCAGTACAATAGAGATAAGTATTTCCCTCAGTTAAGAATCAAGGTTATCAATCCAGTAGGAGAACCACGCAAGACCTCGTTAGTAGTACCTACACACAAAATAACAAATACTTGCACCCAACACAAACAAGGGGTTGTCAAGCCCTTGGCGATTAATTGTAAGGATGAAATCTCATAGTAATAGATAGATAAACAAAAACACACAAAAAAAATAAAAGTAAATAAATTGCAGCAAGATATTTTTGAATTTTAATATTTGATAAAGATAGACCCCAGGGGCATAGTTTTCACTAGAGGCTTCTCTCTTGAAATAGCATACGGTAGGTAAAGAAATTATTGTTGGACAATTGATAGAAAAGCGAATAATTATCACTATATCCAAGGCAATGATCATGTATATAGGCATCACGTCTGAGACAAGTAGACCGACTCTTGCCTGCATCTACTACTATTACTCCATGCATCGGCCGCTATCCAGCATGCATCTGGGGTATTAAGTTTATAAAAAAACGGAGTAACACCTTGCTTATGACATAATGTAGACAAAGTAAATCTAATTAATATGAATAAACCCCATCGTTTTATTGATACAAATACATGTCATGTCCTCTTCTGTCACTGGAATTGAGCATCGCAAGATCGAACCCATCACAAAGCACTTCTCTCATTGTAAGATAAATCAATCTAATTGGCTAAACCAAACAGACAGATCGGAGAGAAATACAAAGCTATAATAATCATGCATAAAAAGAGTTCAGAGAAGACTCAAATAATATTCATAGATAATCTGATCACAAACCTACAATTTATCGGATCCCAACAAACACATCGCAAAAAAGGATTACATCAAATAGGTCTCAAAAACATCGAAGAGATAATTGTATTGAAGATCAAAGAGAGAAAAGAAACCATGTAGCTACTAGCTATGGACCCGTAGGTCTGTGGTAAACTACTCACACATCATCGGGGGACAACAAGGTTGATGTAGAAGTCCTCCGTGATCGATTGCCCCTCCGCAGAGTGCCGAAAAATACCTCCAGATGGGATCTCGCGAGAACAGAAGTTTGCGACGGGGAAAAACGTATTTTGGATGGCTCCCTGTTGGTTTTCCGATTTTTGAGAATTTATAGAGATGGAATTAGGTCAAATGAAGGAATGAGGGGCCCACGGTGCACCAGGGCGCGCCAACTCCCAGGACACGCCCTGATTGCTTGTGGCCACCTCATTCGCCTTCTGGCCTCCTCCCAAAGCTTCTAGTGTTTTATGTCTAGAAAAAAATTATCAAAAAAGTTTCATGTCATTTGGACTTCGTTTGATACTCCTGTAAAGCCAAAATCAAGCAAAAAAACAACATCTGACACTTGGTAGTAAGTTAATAGGTTAGTCCAAAAAATGATATATAATTGCATATAATTGTTTCACCTTGCATGCTTAGTATGAATTTAGGGTACCGGATATGATGTACATGACTCTGGACACATCGATTTGAGGGTTGATTGTCAGTGTCAGCGGACGTTCCCGGACGCGTACGTGGATGTAGGGTTGGTATGTTTGGCTATAGATACTCTAAAGGAGCTCTACATGATGGAATGATCTTAAACTTGTAAGAATAACCTAAGAAATCTTCAATACGTCGCGCAGTCCTTGTCTTGTTTTCTTTCTTGAATGTTTTTTTAACACAATAGCATGCAAGCGCTCGTATATATGTGTATATACTCACCTTTATAAATGCATGCGCGCACACACACTATCTCTATGAACATCCCCGAGAGACTGAGCCGGTATATTATCTTGAGATTTACAAAGTCACCATAAGCACCTCATAGTCGACAGATCGTCTCCTCCCACTAAACGCACACCGCCGAAAATCATGAAATAAATCCTGAAAAATGCGAGCGCCACACTTAAATTCTGATGGATTAGAGATACTACTGTCCTCCTAACCATCCAAGCACATGTTGGTTTGATTCTAGGATGGATGGTTGTTGCTCGTTCACAAACTCGTTCGTAGGACAACGTTGTATATAACCAACTTCTCTTTCCATTTCTTTTATAATACTCTCTTCGTCCAAAAATAAATGTCTTATGCATATTCTCAAAGAAAAAACCTTCAATATGTTGAGCTTAAAGCTACCTCTATATCCACTGAAAGCAATCCGAAAACGATCACCAAAACGGTGGAGCATGATGTCTGCTCCAAATGTAAGTTTAATGTTTGTGGTCTTAGCATTGCCGTAAATAAAATTTCTAAAACACAGATGTTTGAAGAAGTAATTTCGTTCTAGTGACGTTTGAGTCATTTTGGTAGAGTTTGAGTCACTTTCATTTTTGTTTTTGTAGAAATGTCCAGTAAAGCATAGAAGTGACTTCCACTGAAACCAGAGTTCGTTTCAGTCCACCGGAGTGGACAACATCTCTATACCCGAAACCAGTATCGGAGGCGTAAACCTGGGGAGTGCGCGTCCGCGAGGGACACGTCGGCCCGGCCGAATCCCGCCCGTCCATCAAGCCCGTCGGCGATCCCGTCCGTCCGCACACGCCCGCGGCGCCGGTTAAATCCCTCCACCCCCACCGCACCGCTTCTACTGGTTTCCAGAACTCTCTCCTGCCGTCCTCCTTGTCTCCAGGCCGGACGAGCCCGCAGCCGCAGCGTCCGACCTA